TGCAACGATTAAGCCAAAATGCCATCGATTCCCTCGGTTCCATGATTTAGATAGTATAGTAATAAGCTCGTATTTATGTACGTAATAGTCGACTCATGCCATGCTTGTGGTACATTTTTCGTTTATTAGCCCATACACTTGTACGCACGCGCACAATTCCGAACTCCAATGGCGACTTTTCACAGAGTGATCAAACTATATTTTACACAGTTTCGTTGAATTTTCAAAGAATTGTGCCGGTTTCCTATGGATTGTTCGTTGTGTCGTAATCTGGACTTTCTTGCGTGTTGAATTAATGTGTTTTTCTTTGTGTAACGACTCGAAAACCACAAAATTTGGACCCAGCGAATTTATACAATATATAGAAGGATATTTAAACAAGGACAAGTTAAAGGTTTGACAGTTTGACTTTTTAATAAACAACTATAAATATACGTCGTGGACTCATAACATCCGTTGTGTACTTGTGTTAATTTTTGGGTCGCACTCTGGACTTTCTTGCCTGTTGAATTAACCCCAAAATTTCATAAATTTGTACCCAGCGAATTTATACAATATATTGGAATATAAACACGGACAAACTCTCCTAATTCCTTACGATAGTTTTAGTCAAATGTCGACAATATACCTTTTAATACATGTATTCAAATCCGCGCAGTACTAGAATTAAGAGAATTCGCGTAGCGCTGGCCGCTGGGTGCGGAAATTTTAGTACTGCGCAAAATATAATCCGCGCGAAAAGCTTTGTGGTAGCTATACTAAAGATAAGGCGTGCGTTCAAAATACCAACAAGAACTAGAACCATTATTGTATGGTTCTCATTTGCTAGACTTGCCACAAGTCGACCTCGAAGAAACGCATTTCGTTCGAGGTCTACTTGTGGCAAGTCTACTTATTTGCCTAATACAATAACATTTAGTTCGACGCGAATTTTAATACAAGTATGGTGTCATATTTCATAATATAACAAACAATGTAAACTAGCCATACATTTTGCCGAACATAACTTCGGCCCCTTTGGACAGTATCTTTTTCGTGATAATATTATTGGAACCAGAATCGAAAACACTATTTATAGTGTTATTTTCAAGCTTGTGTCTTGGGATTTTCATCTTTTATTTCGGTATTTACAGAATATTTATATTTTTAGCGCGGCGATCAAAACAACGCGCTGTTTAGAAAAAAACGGAAATCGATTCTGTTGGTCGACATGATTTGCACGTGCATCAATCGGGCCAATCGAGCTATAAACGTGCGTGCGAGTAAAAACCCGATATTTTGAAAAATTCAAAATAAATATTCCTACACTGTGCCGTATTCAAACGAAACTTTGTACATGAAAGCGCTTGAATACAAGATGTATTTTACTCACATTGACTCTGAGCAAATTCTGAAGAGTTACTAAAGAATACTAAAGCAGGGTGCATTGCCTGTCAATGGGTTAATAGGACTCTAAGAGACCAATGTTACATGTGTTTGTTAACCCATTTACTGACAGTACTCTGCCACTAACAAGTAAAATCGTCTGGCGTTACAGTGTAAATTGGTCTGGCGTTAGCCAGAGTTAATACTAAAGTAGTGTGCATTGTCAGCTAATAGGTTAATAGACCTTAATATCCACTTTTGACCCAATGGCTTCATTTTCATGTTGGCTATTTACTCGTATTCCGTGCACACAATTTAAGAATGAGTTTGTGAACGGGCTTAAATGATGAACGAGAAGGAAACATTGGGGATATAACCGAGAATTGTCTAGAAGTATAAATTTTTGCATTCAGTTCATACGCCATAAAGGCAGCACTTTCCTTGCGATAGTAACTCCTGGTAATAGATTTGCACCATTACGTCTCCCGAAAAGGTCTTTTATTTGCTTGCGGTTTAAGTTTTGTATTCCTGCCTTTTGCACCATAGCACGTATCTCGTTATTTTCAGGCCAGTGTGAACGCCTGAGCAGGCGCCTTGTTTCAATATATTTCATAGTAGTTTCGGCCGGGGATTTGTCCGTAATAGTGGAGTGTCCGCAAGTTGAGAGTTGACTCTCCTCCACTGAGGAGGCTTTTAAGCTATTACAAAGAACTTACACATAAAATTCCCAAAGGGAGCGAAGTGAGCGTGCGGGCGGTCAGATCAGGCGGGGAGGGAGTGTGTCAAAAGGTTGTTCTTTTGGAACTAAATTTATTCATTAACTGCATCTCTCCATACTAATTCAACAAGTCATAAGCATAAGAGGGGGGGATTTATTCAAAAGCGAGAAATCTGTATAAAAGAAATATATAAAACATTTCAAAATTTAAAACATTTAAAAATTTCTAACCTACCCTGTGTTGGTTTGAAACGTTCATTGTGTCATTGTTTACAATTTAATTATTATCTAAGACGAAGTTAGCATAATAGAACCTTATCTAGCATGAATAGAACTCTATTTCGCATATATAGCGCTTATCTGTTCACTGCGGAAATGCCTTTAGGACATATCTATAGACACAGTTCGTGACTAGTATGAACATTGTCAAAATCAATCGAACCGTGCTACAGTAAAAATCGCTATCGAAGTTCAAGGGACTTTATATTCTACCGTAATCATAATCGCTACAATTGGTACAAGTGTAAACCAAATTCGAACCAACACAACACCAATACCTCACCACCTCAACACTACCATACTACAGTGTGAAAGTACAGAGTGAAACTACCGTGAATTAAAACTACAAAACGTATATCTTCGTCTACATTGTTTGTGATTCATTATCTAACAATTGATTTACCGTCAACTCGTCAAGCTAGTATAATTCAATCATTTCGTGACAACAACAGTCTATTCATTGTTTGACGTCAACTAAAGCTTTGTCCTTTTCATCTGTTGAGTTCGAAAATTCAATTGTACCATTCGCTACCCCTGTAACTCGTCGAGAATTTCTAATTTGGCAACGTAAGAGTTACACCCTGTACGCCTATGCAACAAGCAATTGCGGTTTGAATAATAACAAACCGCTGTCAAGAAATGCAACAATTTGAAAACAGGCAAAGTACTTACCCAACATGTAATGAATCTGATTTCTACCAAACGTTGTGTAAGCCTCGCTGTTTAAACCTTTATCTGCTGCCAACAGCGCTAAGAATGCTGTGTTTGCTGAATATCGATTTGCACCCCACTGAATACGCCATGCTAAACCTTTAGGAGTGTATTGAACAGAACCGCCAGGAAGCCATTGTTGCAAAGAATTTTGAATCAATGTCTGATAGACATTGCTGCCTGTCAACTGGTACATCAACATTTGCACACCAGCAGTTTTCTCATCCCAAGAAAATCCCCACGCGGGATTGCCAAATGGAGTCCATTCTGCAAAATGTTGCTCTGCTTTTTGAAGGTAGTTCGGATCATCAGTTGCCCTGTATAACCATGCTGCTGCCCAGGCAAGTTCATCCTGGTAATGACTTGATCTGTAAAAGTCGGACGCTTGATTAATACTGTCCGTGTACGCTCTGCGATATTGAGCTGCAAACTCGTAAAGTTCTTTAGCATGTCTTAGTAGAGTATCAGCGTACTGGGAGTTCGTTTCTCGGAAAGCTATGGATCCAGCTGCCATAGCTGCTGCGGTTTCTCCTGCTAAATCTGAACCTGGACTGGCCTGATCGATCTTGAATGCAGGTCTGGCTATCGTCATCTCTTCTGGTCGACCCCATTGCGCATGATCTGCATGCCCGTCACCCACCTAAAAATACAAATGATAAACTCATGAAGAACAAAAACAGCACTCCTTTCAAGGAACACTTTGATTTTGTCATGTGAGTAAGTTAATTAGTAATTGTTACAAAGAATTTATTCCAAAGCTTCTAAAATATTGTTTTATTAATGAATATGTTACTGAAGTAGTTAAAAAAAACGTTTAAGAGAGCTGAGAGATCAACCAGACAAAATTATTACTATATACTTTGTGAATTGCCCCCATTCTTTACTATTGTAATTGAAACGTTACCAAACCATTCAGATATAATTTAAATTTCATTTTTATTTCAAATTGTCGTTAAATAGCTTCTGTTCAACCGCAATTTTTGTAGCTACTTTTTTCAATTAGATATATAAATATCCTGCTTTTGGAACTTACCTGACCATAAAGTTCATTCTTGCTAACATGTGCTTTGATGAAATAATCCAGTGGCCATTTAATCGAATCTAACATTCGATCATGCTCGCCAGCGGCAGAGTATGCAGTCTTGTATTCAATGAAACCCCAGGTTAACAATGTAGTTGAAAATGCCATGGGGAAACCAAACTTTACAAAATCACCAGCATCATACCATCCTCCTGTTAGGTCTTCACCCGCGTTACCTTTATCTTCCAAAGCAGAATCACCCCTCCATGGAATACGGTTATTTTCTGGAAGTTTTCCTGATCTTTGCGCTTCGTAGAACAAAATGGATTTATGAAGTACTTCGTTGTAATCATATTTCGAACATGATGAGATGACTGTAGGTGGCGCCTTTGTGGTTAATGGTATTGGTGGTTGAGTTGTTTCTGCTGTTGGTTGTTGAGTTGTTGGTGGAGTTGTGGCTGGCACTGGCTTAGTTGTTGTTGGTTTTGATTGAGTAGTTGATGGTGGTGTTGGTTGCTGAGTTGCTGCTGTGGTTTGTTGCTGAGTTGCTGCTGCTGTTGTTGGTGGTTGAGTTGTTGAAGGAGGATTTGTTTCTGGAGGAGTTGGAGGTCGTGGTTCAGTTGTTGTGACTGGGTTAGATGTTGGTTGGGTTGGTGGTAGTTGCGTTGTGGTTGGTTCTGGAGGGGGGCTTTCACCTTTCCATATGAGATAGACAAAACATAGCCTCGGAGTTCTGCCAGTAAATGTAGCCAGAAATGCCATTGTCAAATCTTCGCCTTTAGACAGTCTTTTATTCCAATCGTAGTTTTTCAGACGGAAACGTTTTCCCTTAATATTTTTTATGATTTGTGCTCTCCAAATGTTTAACTGAACATTACGTTCTGAGAAGACCATAAGCATTTGCCAACCGTCGATGTTTTCCGGAATAGAAAATCTAAGGTTCATCTTCATTCCTCCCGGCCAAGCATGTTCCAAAGATGCAACTCCTTTCTGTGTGTTCAGTCCGCTCTGAAACGAAGGAGGGTCAGGACATCTTTGAGAAAGGACCTCGTACGTGTTTGCCAAGAGAAAAGCGATGCATATCAACAGTAATGTTCGTCGTATCATCTCACCTAGGTGGAATAACAGGAGCTAGTATCAACTTGCGTATATTCTGACACAATGTGTTTTGGACAAAATTCAGATGTTGGCCGATTAAGTTAATGACACTGATATACAGATATAGTCAGTTGATAATGGGACTGCGGGGCACATGGGGAGAGGGGGCTGATGGCAGTGATGGAGAAATTAACCGAAGGGATACAGGGCCGTCGTTAGGGGAGGGGGGGAGGGTAACGGCTTTATCGGCAAATTATTTTCGCAATGTTATTGTTGCAACAAACATTGCACGAAGCAATTAACGATTGCGGCAACGCATTTTTAAAGCATTGCACAGTGTAACATCTCTCTTGCAACTAGTCTCGCAATGTTTAAACACTGAAGCACTGAATGGCTTCCTATTGGCTTTTGACTGTCAATTGGGCGCCAAACGTTAGCACTCGCGGTTTTTATACTATTATCATTGCAAGTTGCATGGGACATATACTGCTTGCTGTAACATCCCTTGCAATGCAATGCTGAAATCGTCTTTCTTAACATTGCGAGACAAGTTGCTTAGTGTTTCTTAGTGAACCTGATTCTACTTCATGCAATGGTTGTTGCAACAATAATATTGCGAGACTTGTTGAGTGCGAAACATAATACACCTTGGCACCTTGCAATTTCGCGTGCAACTTGTGTCGCAACAAAATTGCGAGACAAGTTGCGAGACAATGATAGCATAGTGTAACAGCGCCTTTAGCCTCTTCGCGACGGTCCTGAAGGGATGAACCTGTAAAGCCGGTTTTCCACTAGCGAATTTTTTCGCGCGAAGAGACCTTTTTCCTTTGTCGGCATCCATTTTGCCACGTCTTGCTGGCGTAATAAGTGATACCGACAAAGGGAAAAGGTCGCTTAATTTGCGCGAAAAAATTCGCTAGTGGAAAACCGGCTTAAGACCGCTACAAACGTACACTGTATTTTTAAGTAAATGTTAAATACTATATGTACTCAAAAGATGGCGAACACACCACAATGATATTTTGTTCCGGTTGGATCGTGCACTCCTATTCTCATATTCAGTAATATAACAATTCAGTAATATAATATCCCCCTATGGCAAACACTGAGAAAAGAAATTGCTTAGCTTCCTCCGCAGGGCGAGTCGCACAGCATTCAGGCTGTGGCTAGCCTGCTCGCAACCCGAATTTGTTGCGAAATCCAGGGATTCGTAATTTAGGGATTTAATTTCGGGCTGCGAGCAGGCTAGACTGTGGCAAACAGCAGAATCACGCAATTAATATCTTACAGAACAAAGGTATTGTAACAGGGGATCATGAGCGATAATTTCTGACGACCCTTAAAATTAATGTTGTGAATTTCGTGGATTTCTCATACCGATTTGCCTGTGGAAGAGGTAGCAAATACTCTGTCCAACGTTTCGCTGACACCCTGCACCAGTGGCGTAGCCAGCCTGACAATCTAGTCCCGCTATGCAAAATCAAAATTATTATCATTATTCATTTCTTTAGAAATTGATTGTTTTCACAGTCAATGAACACGAAATCGTCGGGCTAAATCGTATGGCTGGCTTCGCTACTGAGTACTGCCCTACACCCTTCCTGAAGGCACCTTAATTCGTGATTATAAACTGATTTAATAAAGTGACAACGAGGTTTGGGTACCAATCAGGGATGTCGGAACCACAGGTGCAGCGGGTGCAAGTGCACCCCTTGCCTTTTGCATTTTCAACTTTGTGGGTGCAGTGCGGGTGCAGACTATGGGTGTAACGGGGTGCACAAAACTTTTACAACAGACAGAATTAAATGTCGTTCGAGGATCTGTGTGGGGGTGTTCCACCCCCCAGTCGTCAGGAATTCGGCAAAATTGTAATCCATTTGGCGAAAGGTGAAACGGAAAGCATTACTTATGGAATTTTTGGCGAGAATTTACGGAGGAATTGTGCCTAAATAATTGTATTCGGTCCGAAAACATTTGGTGACGGGGAGGGAGGTTGACACGAATGTAGGATCATGACGCCCTTTCATTTTCATTGGTGCCTTTTATTAAGGAGTATGCCCTCTTGTTAACCTATTGCACCCCTTGCCCTCAGCAACTTCCGGCATCCCTGGTGCCAATTAAGGGACCGCTCATTATTTATGTCTTGGGGTGGTACCGAAGAGAAAGGGGTGTGTGAAAAAAATTGCATTGAACTTGAAGTGCCTTTCAAGGAGTACCTATAGTGAGGAGTGCATAAAAAAAATGCCCAAGGTCATCAGAACAAAACTATATTTTGTAACAACAAATGTATGACAGTATATTTTAATTGCTGTCAGATGAGTCAGAGTTCCCGCTGCCTGTTACATTGGTATCTGACATGACATCATCAATTAAATCTGATAACGGACCAATTAACTTCAAGTATGGAATATTCTTTGATCAGTATTTACATGAAGTGATTCATTACTAATAGCCCCCTTTCTCACCAAATATTTCGTAAATATCTTCATTAATTTCATCATCAGTAACTAGAGACCTAAAATAAAAAGTCTATGAAGATTTCTAGTAGGTCTCTAGCCCAACATCTTCAAATTATTGTAATATATTTTAAGTAGATTTTTATACATGGGAAAATAAAATTAAAAAAAAAAAATCCTCTCTCGCCTTTTACACTGTTGAGCTGTTTGGTAGTATTTGCAACATCGTCTTCAATTTTGCTAACCTAGACCCTCAACTCTTTGCCTATTTTTTTAATTCCATATGATCATCATCAAACAGCTCTACTTGCCGTAGCTATATTAATTTGTTAGAGTTGGCAGTCGGCACTTCCTATTTACATGTTTACAAAATACATGTATTTGTTCTCGCATGCAGTAAAAACAAAATAGTTTGAAGTATTTGTATAGGTAATAATGGTTTCCGAAGGACGAGTGCAATTTGAAGTCTTTGCATGAAAAACGCACGAGTGTATCTTTTTTCTAAATTGCACGAGAAACCAAACTATTACTTATTCATGAAAAAATTATGCAGTCACATGCGTGCGTAGCTAGTCACATGCGAAATAGTTAATTTTAATGTAAATCATTTTAATAGAAAATCTACTAAAAACGCCAGCCATTTTTGTCACTTGTAAATGTTTGGGTTCTTTGTATTATTTTCTGCTAGAAATGGCTGTATCTTATAGCTAGTCAATGAAATTTGCACTGTATTTCATTTTTTGGCACTGTATTTCATTTTTTGGCAATGTATTTCATTTTTTGGCACTGTATTTCATTTTTTGGCACTCTATTTCATTTTTTTGGCACTGTATTTCGAAAACATTGCACTGCTCTTAGCCAAGCCAAAGTGCCCAACACTTTATAAGCTTTTATAGCTCAAATTGAAAGACAAACATGTTCCGTTTTTGACTGACATAAAATTATTATGCTATATAATAAATACAATGTTTTCTTGAATTTTTTATTGTCAACATCAGTAAATCATACTCAAAGTCAAAGGGCACTTAATTTGTAATACTTATCTGGTTTGTTATCATCAGTTTATTCTCACATTCTTTGCAGATCACTCTGATTTTTAACTAAATTGGAGGGCTGGCTTCATTCTTTCTCAGATAAATTTCCCCATGATTTGTCCAAATTAGCAAATATATATTTAAAACCTTTCTCTTTCTTTATCTTTAAACAGAACTCAGAAGTTAAAGAGCTTCTAATTATTCTTTCGAGTCAGGTTTTCATTTATAGCTATAGATTTTATTACTGGACTGGTGGCCAAAATCAGTAGCAGTTATAGGTTTTTCAACATTCAACCTGCATGTATTTCCTCACTGTTGTCTTTGTTGGAACTGCTCTGTTTGGCAGAGGATGACCGACTGATATGTCGCTTGTAGCAGGATCTATCTGGCAAATTTTAAAACGACGTCGTTTGTATTGCCACGCTCACTACTTACAGGCTAGCCCCTAATTTCAACACAGTCCCTCCTGAGGTATTGATCCATATCATTACAAGACTCACAGCCTACATATAATACAAGACTCATATAATGCCATGCCTCTTGTGTCATGTGCCTCTTGTGTGTGAGAGATAATCTTACTCTTAACACTAATCGAATAAAATTGTGGCCGTGCAATCCACGCTCTCCACGCGCATCCATGCACCAGTTGCCTCAATGGCGTATGAATAAAGGCTGTTTCCATTAACGTTCGCTTTGCCCGCGTGGGCGAAGCGTTCACTGTTTTTGAAGCCCGTCACGCCCGCGTGAGCAGATTTTCAAAGCCCGCTCCCCCCGCGCGGGCAAAGCGACTGCAATGGAAAATTGCCTTAAAGTGACATAGAGCCTCTGCAGAGGCGATCGAGCAGTTCCATGCAATTAATGCCCAAAAATGCCCAAATTAGCTAATCCAATACCCATTTTAACAACATTGCCGCCCATGCACAGAAAGCTTGCCCCCGCCGCTTCACGTTCTTTCCAGCGCCCCTGCCTTTAATATAGGATTACTTAATCAGAGAGTGCCCTTTAGTTTCCCACTGCCCCCGCCCCTACTTTTGAGATGCTCCCGCGGCCTATGCCTATATTCAGTAATAACTCAATGTTATCAAGAACATTAGATGTATGTGCTGTTCGTATCTCACCGTGGTTATATATACAGGGTGTATAAAAAACTGAACAGATTTGAAATTGCTCTCAATTTCGCAAAACGGCTATTAGTATCCAGTTTTTTATATATATGGCTTCTTTGGGTACTTATAATGTAGAATAATGAACAAAATTTCGCGAACACAAATTTTGTAAACCAGAGGGGGGTGTTTTCCAACAAACTAAAAATGGCTTGCGCACGCGATTTCAAAGCTATAATCGTATTTTCAGTTAATGGATGAATAAAAACCCAACAAATTTTCGATAACTCAAAAAATGGCAATTGCTAGATAGTATACTTCAAAATAAGGTTTCCGTTTTTATATTAATTTTTAAAATAAGTTAGGGTTAGGTTAGGATTGGGGTTAGGTTAGGGTTAGTATTAGGGCTAAGGTTAGTATTAG